ACTAATAAAAGGACATGTGATCTTGCTTGTAATTGATGGTCGAGTTGTTGCCTTGGGCTTATATGACCTATCAAATCTTGGTCAGAACTAATCTGATCTGAGCTTAAAGAGGGCATGTGGTTGCAGAATAGAAATAACACAAACGAATAGCACTGGATGAGATATAATCAATGATTAATATCTTGGAGTGAATTTGCACTTGTGGAACTTCCAAACATTATTAAAATTGCTTTTAAAAGAACTTGTTCCCATTTTCTTTTTGTCCTCCATTTTTCTTTTTTCCAAAATCTAAACACTACATTGACTAAGGGAGTTTCCCTCGATTTCTGACATCTCTGAAAAATACAAAATAAATTTCCTATTCAGTGTGAAGCATTTCACGAATTCCACCAGACATTATCTGGCACAACTATTCTTTATATTAACGTTATATTTGAGGGTGCTCGGGGAAAAAATCACATGCTTACTCAGGTTGGATTCGAACCCATGACCTCCTGCTATCAGAGTATAAAATGAAATAGCAGAAAATACTACGCCACTTTGTTTCACCCCATGTTTAAAAAAAAAAAAACTACAAAATGAAAAGACTACATACTAGTTTAATTTTCTACACAACTTTCAACACACTGCCAACAGCTTTGTTAATAAGTTGTGGTGTTTCTTTAACTTATCTTTTTTTATATTGCTCTGTCGTTTTTTGGATTTCATTCACAAGCTGGTGGTGCATGAGATCCGTGTCTCGTGGACAAGGTTCAACAGAGATGCGGTGCTGGGACTCTATGACACCTGCAACAAGTCACAGGTAAACAGTGCCATTCAGCGTGCAGGCTGCGTGGCTTGTTTTAGAAATCAAAAAGTTCTCATTGGTAACTTGGGGGCAGTCTTGCAAGAAAATGCCATTTTTTCCTACAGCTGGTCGGCCGACCGGTGTTTGAAATTGATAAAAAAAAATACCCTTTCTTGAAAATGACAGTTCAGTAAGGTATAATTTTCATAATAATTTTGTAGTTTTGGGTTTGTGATGTTTGCAAGTGTTGTATATTCCCTTTAAGGCTTCATATACATTGCAGGGAAATAAAAAAGTTGGTGGTACTTCTAAGGTGTAACAAATTTTTATTTCCCCAATGCTAATTCCATTTCAAAAATACATTTTGTCTGTCTTGCTTTGGATGTGATCAGTTGAGCTAGAGAACAGCCAAGTCATGCTGAAAGGCTGCGAAGCATCAGGCTATGTCATCATCTGCACGTCTAGTGCCCAGATCATACAGTGTTCCCACTAACCAGCCTGGAGGGGAAGGGCACCTGACTAAGAAGACCAGCTGGGTGGGCAAGCTGGATGGACTGCAGGTTAGAAGACTTTGAGCTCATCAATTAGAAGAGTTGCCCTTACTTCCATTGCTTTGTGCATCTCATGCAGCATACTGTATGTAGTGGATTGTTTGGATAGTTTCTAAATTGGATGACTCCTAAACTGTTGGCTGTTTCGGCAACTTGCCGAAACAACCATTGTTTTTGTTATTTTTGGTGTGATTGGTGTGATGGCTGAACACTACTTGTAAGTTGTTTATTGTGTCACATTCCAAGCAATCATATATCAGACATGTCAGATTGCAGGGGTTTTTTTTAGGGAAAACGGGGGTTAACTCCGTTAAAGTCTCCTGACGATGGACATAGAATGCTGTCCGGAATGTTGAGTTAAAACTGGTTCTTCTCAGAACACCACATACATGTACTCAGAAAAGAGATTAATTTCACATGTGCCACCGCAAAGTTACCTTGCTGTTTTCTTCACCATGCAAACTTTTCATTCTTATCTAATCAGAAACAGTTTTGTGTAACGCAATTTGGTTTTTATCTCAACGAAAGAAATTTTAGTCCCGAAACCAATCCAGATAGGATCGAAGTTTCACTTCCCATGACTGTTATTGAGACGAATGACATAATCACTTGTCTTTATTTGTTATATAGTGTTCAAATATTCGCAAATCGATTTGACTCGCCTCAACGTTTTTGACCTACTGACTCGACTTGAGTTGAGTCACTTCTTTAAAATGACTTGACTCAACTCGAGACACAAAATACGGTGACTCGTTACATCTCCACTGAGGAATGACAAGGAGATTCTGATCCAGGAGATAATAAATTATAAAATGAGTCCTTGGCATTGTCAGCAGCAGCCTTTGTAAAATGTTGGCTAAATGTTTAAACATGTGAACACTGCATCAATGCTTACAAAAATGAACATGCATGACCATTATTACAGTATTATATTAGTGAAATGTGATGTTTTATCCTTCCCCCCAGACCAGGCCCATGTCCCTGAAAGCGATGATGATAATTCCAGCTCCTGGGGTTACGACACCAACATCCCCTCTAGAAGGACCAAGACCCCATGGTCAGCGACGCTGAGATGTGACACATGACGCTCACCAGACCGGCTAAGGTTGGTGCTTATTGGGTCAGTCACTACAGAACACCATTACCACACTGCAAAAACAAATAGACAAGCAAGACCCTGTGGAGGAATTAACGGTGATTTGGGGTAAAGTTTGGCTCAGTGATATTTCAAGAACTCACAATTTTAAAAGTCGCATAAAAATTGCGTGAATTTCTGTAGTCTATAGAATTTCAAGTTATCAGATCTTCCCATTTTCATATCTGCAAAGCAGAATGTATCAGAATACAAGGGCTTCTTCAACCAATTGTTACCGACAACAAACCAAATTTTGCACTTGATCAGCAAAAGCTAAATGTATGCCAGATGTTATGCTAAATGTTGCCAGACAGTTTTGCCAAAAATGTTTTGTTGAGTCAGTGAAAAGTGACTCACCAGTGACGTGTCCCCGATGTCTAGTCTGAGTCATGCGTTGAGTCATGTGAGCCCAGTTTGAGTCATCATCCATTTTAACTTAAGTTAAGTCTGAGAATTTGCAACTCAAGTCAAATTCAAGTTCGTGTCACAGACTCGGTTCTGTATTTCTTCCATACTGGTGTATGGCTATGTTATCCATGCACTTGCTGAAGAATGAATATGTAAACAATTTAGTCGGCCAAAGATCTTGATTCTTAATTGCAGTCCAAGCTAGAGAGAGAACAAGCAATGTAGGCCATCAGCCTCGGTCAAAAATTTTGGCAACCGGTATCAAATGAGGGGAATAATGGTCATAGCGATTTTTGGCAAGGTATACACCTGCAGAATTGGAAAATATGTGATAGCATTGTAGCGGTGCCAGCTTTTTAGGTGTTATAATCAGCTTTTTTCCAAAATGGCCATCAAGATGCTTGTAACCACTCTAGGGGCGGTATACCTTGCGCATGCGCACTATAATCATTTATGCGCTGATTTGATACTGACCAAACCCCCAAGCTGATGGCCTAATGTAATGTATGTTGTCTGTCAATTTGTTAACTTTGAAATGTAGGTGCTATATGAAATGTCAGTGGCAGTCAACTGTGAGGAGCCAAGAAACCTGTCTGCAAAACAAGAACAGATTCCCCAATGTACTTCCATGTACAGGTAAGTTCATTTTGTAGAAGTAGGTATTCTTTTAAATAATTTAGCGGGTGCCTTGTATATCGATTCTTTGGTAACCCGTTGTCATGTACATCTAGTAAAACTTAGACACAACATCTATTATACTATATTGGTCAGGTTTTATTTGATCCCTATGTCCGTTGTTGTATTACAAAAACATGGCATCAAAATTGACCAATCAACAGCTAACTGCAGATTTTGGAATGAAATAATGTCATGTCGACTCACGGCTGGTGCGCCGGGTCGCATATATTTGCATGCGTAGATCAGATGTTGGGCCAGAGACAGAGAGGGTGATACAACGGGTGATACTCAGACTAGTGTTAAGGCTTCATTCTTGCTAAACGATTTTGTATTTCAATTTATTCAAAAAAGAGTGGACTGCAACATCAGGCAATTATTAAATGGGTTTATACCATTCAAACCTTTGATTGGTTCGTAACTAGTTTTAATTGTAAATAAATCAATAATCGGCATTTAAGAACGCTCTTATTAGTTAACTAAATCACATTGCTCACAGTATTATTATTACCCCTGATCATTGGGCCGATTAAACATTCCAAATACCATCTCAGCTCCCTGTGACAAAGTGCCTTGCACAAGGGCACACGCACCATGACCCGGCCGGACTCGAACCCACAACCCGCAGCTTTACACACAGACCACGAAGCCTGTGCCATTAACCACGAGGCCACAGCACTCCACATTAATAATTAATATTTGTTGGGTAGGTCATTTGATTCACAAAAGCATTCTTGGAGGAAGAGTACACACATAAAGGAGTACATCTTCTATTACAAAATCGTAGATGCCAGACTTATAGGGACAGGAACAAACTGAACCCCAAATTCACAAAATGTTCCAAATGCATCTTCTAATGTAGCATTTAAAAACTCCATTTGAGAAAAGCAAACAAACAAGATTTCAGTTTACAAATGTACATCCATCATACTAACCACATTTACAAACATCCATGTATCATTGAAGTAGAATGCACAAGGTTTTCATTTCCAACTTGGTTTTTAAACTAATGTAAATGTTGTAATGAAACTGATATTAATTTGATGAGGCACTCATCAAATTAATATTAGTTTTTATGTGTTAGTTCAAAATCACACATATTTTTTCCATTTGCTTTTGAGTAATTTACTTTTGTCTCATGTACACAGAGGTGCATAATCTTTTTCATTTGAAATATAAGTTGCAGTCATTTAAACTCAACAATTTTTCCAATTATTGAACAGTCCAATAACAAAATGTAAGGAAATGTTTACATTTTATACAGGAGCGGGGTTATATCTTATCCTTAGAAAACACATCATGCATTGACTTTCTATTTGCTGAGACGAATCTGAGAAACTTGAATTGCCCTCTCATGGTTATACTTTCCCTTTTGTTTAAAATGTACACCGGGTAATATTTTGAAAATGTGCACTCATCCCTATTTGCAAACAATGTGAAGGGTCATTCCTTTGCTCTCGTTATTGGGCCACCAGATCTAAGATTTTATGGGAAGTAGGCTGGGCGTTGAGGTCCAAGATTTTTCAAAGGGGAAGTGGTTAAGGAGTCAAAGCATACAGAGACCATAGACCTTAGAAATAAACTAAATATACAGCATTGTAGAATGTCATTGGAGGGAATTATGTTCTTTTTCAGTGATAACAATGCTCAATGTCTGATGGAAGTGGTTGGTGGATACACTGGATAGCCCCAGTTTAATTATTCTGTCCTTACACTCGGTGATAGACCTGTACAGACTCTCCTGCAGCCACTACCAGATCACCATCCAATGTGAATGTGATGCCACGTGGATCACTGCATCCATTGATCACACATCCAATGTACTTGCCATTAGGACTGTAGTGCAGAATATCACCTGTTGGATGTCCGAACACAGCAACATAGATGCTGGCATCACTGTTACAGCACACACCATTAGGGTAGTAACCCTCCTGCATGTTGCTGGTCATATCTACTGAGAATACACTGGCACCATAGTAGTCTACACATACCAACCTTTTGTTAAGCCAGTTTGTGTAGATAAGGTGGTGATTGTGCATTGTCAGATAATCTCCAATCATTGGAGCAGGCAGCCTCCTGATGCGGGATCCATCTGGGTTGTGTAGAGATATCTCATTCTTGCCATCATAACCCACTGCTATCAGATTGCTGTCATCCACTGCAAGGCATGTTGGTTGGCTGTGTAGCCATTTACCTGGTTTGAACTGGTGGAGCTGATGCTGCTTGCTGAAGACCTTGACTTTTTGACCATCTATGACAAATAGCTTGTTATCCTTGCTCACTGCAATACACCTAACATTAGTGAGGCCATTGATTTGTGGCCTTATGATTGGAGATTCCTGATGACTTTTTGGAATTATAACAGTGAATAGTGTTTCTCTTTCTCCACTAAATGGTACGGATAGTGCAAGTGCAAGTATTTGATTGTTAGAGAGTGCTGCAACAAGTGACATGAATGATGATACACTTAATTCAAAGTTCTTGATTTCTGTCTTCAGTTTCCATTTCTCCTTCACACATGTTCTTCCAGGTCTTGGTGATTGCTTCGCAGCACCCCTTGACTGTTCTTCAGTCTTTAGTTCCCATTTCTCCTTCACAATTGATCTTCCAGGTCTTGGTGATTGCTTCGCAGCACCCCTTGACTGTTCTTCAGTCTTCAGTTCCCATTTCTCCTCCACACCTGATCTTCCAGGTCTTGGTGATTGCTTCGCAGCACCCATTGACTGTTCTTCAGTCTTCAGTTCCCATTTCTCCTTCACACCTGATCTTCCAGGTCTTGGTGATTGCTTTGCAGCACCCCTTGACTGTTCTTCAGTCTTCAGTTCCCATTTCTCCTCCACACATGATCTCCCAGGTCTTGGTGATGGCTCTACTGCTGCCTTTGGCTCCTCCAGAATGAGTCTCCCAAGTGACCTCTCACCTTCTTCAAAGTCCATAAAGGTAAACTTGTCAGGAACTTGCTGTGGCTGTTTCCCTGTCAATTCACTGAGGTTATGCAAGAGCTTTTGCTGAAGTTCAAGAATCTCATAGCAACTTGCTTGATTCATGAGTTGTTTGACCTCCTCCAGCTTGTGCTCTGTCTGTGTCACCTCTTTGCTGTTATTGGCTTGGGCAGCTTCAAATGTTGTGACTCTTTCTTGATAAATCCTGCCCATCTCTTGCTTTAATTTCTGTTCTTCATTTTGGATTTTTGGAATCCCCAGTTGGATCTTTGCAACCTTTTGTTGGATCTTTGTAATCTCCTGATGAGCCTTTTTGGAGACTTTCTTTTGAGCGTTGGCAAACATGGTGTCCAGCTCCTTGCGAGATTTGCACGTCTTTTCTATGGTGTTTCTTAATTCTTTTTTTCTGCTCTCACTTTTTTGAACCATTTCTGTGACCTTCTTCTTACATTTTTCTGCAGCCTCAGGTAATCCAGTGAGTGAGTGTTTTGCATGATCAAGTACAGAGCAAGTTGTACATATGACTTGCTGGCATGAGTTGCAGTAGACATTCAGATTCTGATCTGGGTGCTTGCAACACTTGGGAATTTCTTCTCTAAGTTTACTCTTGTAGACAATCTCCCCTGATCGAAGTTGAGCCAATGTGTAGATTTGATGAGATTTCATGGCAGTCATACGTTCATGTGCCTTTTGACATTCTTGACAGAGAAAATGATCACAATCCATGCATCTTGAAATAGCCTGATTCTCCTCATCACAGGCTTGACATTTGATCTCTGACCCTTTAACTTCCAGTAGCTTTTCCTGCATTGTAACTTCCTCCACCAGGGCACTGAATGCAAAGTTATTAGGGAGATCAGCAACCCCAGACCCTTTCAACGTGGTTTCACATCTGCACAGAGGACATGTCAGCTTTGTACCACTAGGATCTTGGCTCTGTCTGAGCTCTTGGAGGCATTGCAGGCAAAAACTATGCAAACAGTCCAGCAGTTTGGGCTGCCTGAAACGGTTGGTGCAGATGGAGCATTCCAGATGATCCACACTAATCTTCTCCAACACTGATTGGGCTGTAACATTAGATGCCATCTTCACTGTTGGGCTTGGTGCGATAGGATGGACCTTTAACTTGAAAATAAAGCACATAAAGTAAAGGTTTGGGAATAACACATATTTCAACTTCAAATGATAATTTGGTTGAAATAAGTTAGTTGTAGCCTATAGCTGAAAACATTTTGTCAAGTAGAGTGTTCATAAAATTGAAGGTTTATTCACATACTATATGCTTGAATCAAACCTGATGTTAGTTTTTTTTCCCAAAATAGCAATTAGTTACAACAAATGTGTAATAGGGTTACCTTGTTAATTATAAGAGCACATTTTGTCCTGAAAAATGCAATATTAAAGAATTCTTTTCAGCTGTTACATGACATTTTCTGCGTCTCAAGTAAGTTGTAATAAAGTTCATTACAAGTCAAACTAAAGTAGGTCACAAGTAAAAAAGTTTTTAATGACAAATGCCGACGGTGGCGCGGAATTTAAAAAAAAAGCAAATGGCCCCTGGTAACCAAAAAGGCACTGATTAAAAAAAAAGGGCCTTGTTTAAAAACAAAGGGCACTCTTTACAAATATGGGGGGGGGGGGGTAAATGATGATGTAAAAGGGCACTTAATTGTATACAAAAGGGCAGTCTTACTTTTTAATACTCAGGTGGGGCTCAAACCCAGTACCTCCTGTTTAGTGCAGTTGTCTTATCACTCCACCTCTGAGCTTGCCTGGGTCAGCTGGGTGGTTTGAAACGAGGTGGGCAGAAGACTGCAACCAAATATTGTCTGTACTGAAGAAAACAATATCTCAAGGACTTTAAGTGGCCCATATTTCAAATCGTAGACTTGTCCAAAAAGGTCAACTTTTCTTTAAGAAAAGTGCACTAATTTAAAAACAAAGAAGACTTATCTTCATCAGGTTTATTTTTTGTTTTATTATTATTTTGTGATTCACTAAGCTACACTTGTGCCAAATCTTCTTAAAAGCCTAACACTTATTTTGTAAGAAGCTTCATGTAAGTACAAACAATGCATGTCACATATTTCTGTCATGAAATCAAGGAGATTCATGTATTCCACATATTTAACAGGTTGACGGATCCACCTGAATTTTCAGTAAATTCATATACACTTGTAATTGGCAAATGCTGAGTTCACATACATGTACTTCATATAAGATAATATGCTGCTGTTGATTTACGGTATATCAGACGTATAGACAGACTTACAGGTAGACCCACTAAATAAAAATCTTACCTTCAGGTACACTTGAAATGAGCCATTGCTATCTTCCCATTCTGATGTAACTTACGGCAATGGTTGAAACGAACAAAGATGGCGTTCTATGTATACGCCCCTCTGTATCAACACAGACCATGTCACCTGATTTTGAGTACAGTCATTTGCAGTCCCCGGATTCCACTTCTTTAGCGCTTTGGTACGTGCTCATAGTAATATCAAATGCAGTGCTCTATATCTAATGGATCCAAAGGTCCTGGGCTGGTAATATTTGCACTAGTACCCAAATTCCGATAACGTAGCACTGCGGTACGTGCTCACAGTAAAATCAAATACAGCATGTCGACTGTGTTGTATATCTAATTGATCCAAAGGTCCTGGGCTGGTAATATTAGCAATATGACAGGCAAGTTTATCAGAAAGGTAAACATAAAGAAGCCACAGGGTCACAAATTACAATATTCTAAGCTGACTGATATTGCAAATAACACTTGTTTTAATATCTATAAGTCGCAAAGCTGACATACCAGCGAATTGACCATCTTGGCGATTTTGAGATTTTGTTATTTTGGGGGTTTATAGAGATTGCTCCTTCAAGTATTTATGGCAAAATTCTTGGTTCTTGTCTGGATTTTGAGACTCAGAATCCCCCCCCCCCCTGTGGCGAATCAGTCACAATAACAAATCCATAATATGACATAGTGACAAATACGGAATTGCGCTGGTAGCCAGCTAATGTAAGGTATGCGTTCAATGTACCAACGAATGTTATTCGTCAGTTTGTCAGATGGTGCGCGTGTGCACGTGTGATCCGACAAACTGGTGAATAGCATACAAACAATATGAAGAACAACCTGCTATTACTAGATTTTTGTAATTTGACAAACTGACGAATATGTTGACGATCAAATAAAAACATATCGCACAACTTCTCTGACTAAATAAGTAACCTGATTGATACTATGTTTCCTATTTTATTCCGAATAGGTTATTATCGAAACATAAAGGGTAAAATACAACGCCCAGAAAAATGTCCAACTTCATATGCGAATCACTCCAAACAGGCTTTTCGCTTATGCGTCAGCATGTCAGCTCTGCGATGATATGTTTTAAATCAGGGTATGTTTTAAATCAGTCTACCGTATAAATCCCCTCCCCCCCCCCCCCAAAAAAAAGAAGAAATATAAAAGAAGTAAACAATAAACCAACATTAAAAAGTTATGGAATCTATATATTTTTTTCACTTTCTTTACATTTATCTACATTTTAGCTATTGTGCATTTTGTGTTTTACATGCATGTATAACATTCAACAGTACTATCCCTGCATCATAACTAAATACATTTCTTTCAGTGATTCAGTGTTGGCAGTACTTCATTGCAAACTTCCAAAACTGACAATTTGTAAGGCTTTCTCTTTTTTTAAATAAGATGTATGCACCCAAGTTCAGTTCATTTATATTTTGTGTCTTCTATAGGCTGATTGGTCCATTGCTGAGATGAATGCTGAGATTGGGGAGAGCCACGCCTAACTCTACACATCACAGACTGATGAACAGGTACTAACACAACAGCAGTAATGTGGTGTCAGTCTATTTGAAATCTGTACGGGTGCTCATTTTCCCGATCAAAGAGACTGTTACGATATCACATGATTTGAGGCAAGCCTTACGCTAGCAATCTTTAGCGGCTGCATGGTCTGGTGTCTTTGTGCCATTCTCACCTATTGTGAAAAATGTGTTTGTGCTAAGCGTCCCTTACGTCACTATGCAAGAGCTTGCCCGAAATCATGTGATTAGCAACAGTGTCTTTGGTCTAGAGAATTCAAAGTTAAAATGTGTCAAGCATTCTGAGCAAGTCAGTGTACCAGAGGTTTTTCAAATGTAAATCCCAAAGGGTATAGGTCAATCGCAAATGGCTTAGTCCTGAGTCGTTTGGAATCCTTGCAACATTATGCCTATATTCAAAAATCAAGCATTGGACAATTCTTCAGCAATACAGCACTACAATGTTGTAATTTTGGATCTGGAGGCTTCAAAGCCCGGTTCATACTTCACGCGAAAGCATGTGCGAAGCGAAATTCATGTCATCAACAATGGTGGACACGCTTTGAATGTATTGTTGACGTCACGAATTTTGCTTCACTTTTGCTTTCGCGTGAAGTATGAACCGGGCTTAACGACCATGAAAACTTCATCAGCGCATTGTCAACAAAAAATGCAAAGCTAAAAATATAATTTATAACATATTACATGTTATTATTTTAGGCCTGGCAAATGGACCGATGATTGCAGTGATTGCCATTACCGCTGCTTAGTCCTCCTCATTATTGTCATCATCCTCATCACTCTGGTCAACAGAAAGGTCAAGGGTAAGAGGACGAGGAGCCAGTCCTCCTACCAGATGACTACCGCCCTCCCCGCCCCCAAACCAGTGCTTCCAGGATCGGCCCGGCAACGCCAGTGATGACAGTTGTTTCACTGCCGTGGGCGGGGCCACAGTAGAGTCTACCATCAGTACCAGTGATGACAAATGTTATGCTGCTGTGGGCGGGGCAGTGGGCGGGGCCATAGCAAAGTCCACCATCAATGCCGGTGATCACAATTGTTACGCTGATGTGGGTGGGGCAGTGGGCGGGGCCACAGCAGAGTCCATCATCAATGTCAGTGATGACAAGTGTCTCGCTGCTGTGGGCGGGGCACAGGGCAGTGGG